CGTAAATTCATTAGCACTATGCCACACTAGTCACATTCTCATGTGTATTTACTTGTTAAATTAGGGTAATTTGGGTCGATAAACATCCTCGATTTTCAGGGGTTACGATCACCTACGCTCTCTACAGAGAGCGAAAGTAAGCGTAACTCCTGTATATCGAAGATGGTCGATAAATGGATCAAGCGTAAATGTCCAGAGAACTCTCAGATATTTAAATCTTAAAACATTAATGTGATTTTCTTAGGAACTTCGCTATTAAAGGTGCGATTTAATATTATTTAGGAAAAAGTGTCTTACAAAATGTGTAAAATTTGGAATACTTTTATGCACAATATCACTTCTAAGGAAAACTTGAAACTTGTTCGCCTATTTGTTAGCTAGCATGACATCTGTGAAAGTGAAGAAATGCATCTATTTCTACAAACGCGTTCACGCATTATTTAAATGCCAATGAATGGTATTGCTTGAATGATAAATTCTGGCTTTACTGAAAAAAATATTTTAGACAACAGTGAAATCATAAAATAACTACACTGGAATCAGTTATTATATAACCATAACATATGTCGTATTGTGTTCATTCGACAACATTTAAGATAGGTCATTATATAATCTACAATTTTATCACATGTCAACTAGTTATACCAACTATACGTGTATCTATATATGCTCTCAATTATAGTCTAGTGCACTTGCGTTCATTGACATCCTATTATCACACAGTAAGCATCCTTATCATGTAGCCTTTGTCTGCAATCCAGTTATAACACAGAAAACATCTTAGGTATAAAGCTTGTATTTACGCCTCTTTTTTAACATATTAAACACCCTAGTTACGCAGTCTGTATTGACATCATCATTATAACACAGTAATCATCCTAGTTATGTAACATGTATTAAGGTAGCAGTATACAGTAGAAATGGCCCGACTCTGAAAAACAAGGCACATGTCGAGGAAATGTTAACAGCGGATTTACCCTACACAACACATATATACATGTATATATATATTTGTAAACTTGTTGTAAACTTTTCACTTGTGTGAAAACTATGGTTACCACATCAAAAATTACCAAAAAATGCCAAAAATGCTATTTATGACCCAAAAATTGGCCCCACAACTAAGTTCTGTCTGAAATTAAAGATTACCTACTTGGTTGCAGAAATATCTGGGTCCCAGCAAAGTTGACAAACTTGATTTTTTGCAATTTTGCGTTGTGTGCTGTTGTCGTAATTTTACCTCCTGTAAAGCTAGCTTTTCATGTGTAGGCACCCTTTCAGATTATAGCGATAATTTTGTTCATGAACCAAAAACTTTTGTTTTGTACAAATGTGAAGCTCACATAGCCAACTTTATCATGCTTATTCCAATTATAATACAGTTTTATTTTTATGATGTTTTTTTTTTACATATCATTATACAGGGGTTAGCCATTTAACAAAAATATATCCCATAGCCACAACCCTCTACTGTACACTGCTACCTAACATCTCTGTTATGACACAGTTAGCATCCTAGTTATGAAGCTTGTATTTACATCTCCGTTATAAAACAGTAAACACCCTATATTTACATCACTGATATAAACAGTAAACATCCGAGTTATGTAGCCTGTATTTACATCACTGGTATAAACAGTAAACCTCCTTGTTATGTAGCTTGTATTTACATATCTGTTTTGAACATAATAAACATTCAAGTTATGCAGCCTGTATTTACATATTTGTTATTATATAGTACGCATCCCAGTTATGTAGCTTTATTGGCATCTTCCTTTACAACACAGTAAACATCCTAGTTACTTAGTCGTATTTACATCCTTGTTATAACACAATAAACACCATAGTTATGTTGCCTGTAATTACATCACTGTTATAACACAGTAAACATCCAAGTTACGTAGCCTGTATTTGCATCTCTGTTAGAACACAGTAAACAAAACAGTTTCCTAATCTAAGTGTACATTACTGTGGGATATGCAACCTGTATATACATATATATTATAACACCTCGGTAACAAAAATGTTATGTTATAGCATGCGTTGTCCTGTTTTAACACAACGAACACCTTATGTATGTAGCCTGTATATACATATCTGTTATAACACCACGGTAAATAAACAGCCTTGATACGTAGCATACACTTCATCATCTTTACCAGCAGGTTTGTTTCCTAAACTGATACTGTCGCATTACATACACAATCTTAATTATTTTGCTATCTACATGAAAGAATTTGAAATCAGTAATATTGTATTAGAATTCAAATATCCGATCGTTTATGTACATCTTCTTGTATATCGCACATTGACATACAATACACATGATACACTCACTTTGATGAAATGAGTATGTTATTTAACATTTTACTAGCAGTAGAGTGTAGTTCTTCGGAAAATGTCTTTGGTCCATTATCTTCTAAAACTGCGCACAGAGAGAAAAACTCACATAACACCAGTCTGCGACAATCCGAGCAGCATATCATCTCTATGGTAATAGACACAAGCTCTTTGGTATTAGAACAATGTTGGAGTCCTTAACCTACAATGGAAATAAAATTGAAAAGTATCAATAAGTTAGATAAGCAAAGCGGAATAAGAACATCGATATTTTCGCTAAAATAATTATGATATACCGATACACATTTCAAAATATAATATTATTATTCCCATTCTAATAAATTTCAGCTAAAATTTGCGTTTTCATTAAAAAANTACACTTTCCTCTAAAGTAAAAGAGTGGGAATCCTGAGCTCCAGGAAAATGTAGATGTAAATAACATGACTGTTTGAATATACAGTTTCACTTCGAAAAAAACAAAAACAGTACCTATGAGGGTTTTAGGGTTCCAATAAGGGATTCGGTGTCCATGTCGCATTCTTGCATCGCCAGGAGAATTGAATTCACAGTTGGGCGGGGATTGGTCTCTTTAATGAACGCCACCAGTAAAGCGGTGATCTTCTCTCGAGTTCTGTTGTTTTTGTACTGGTCGTCAAACTCATCAACTTTTTTGGGAGCGAATCCAAGTTCCAGGAATAAGTTGAAATATGATTTGATGTCAACGTGGTCAGCGATGATCGGAACATCATTGACAGACAAATTCCTCTTTAACCATTTATCCGGCAATGTCTCGTCTGAAAAGTACAGAAAATATACAAGCAAACAATAACTGACTGAAATAGTCTAACGGAAGGCCAGAAAAAATAACAAGAGGCCCAAATGGCCTGTATCGCTTACCTGGAAATGTTAGCAACATTAAAGTTGGAATATCTAGATGTTGCCGGTAGTGTACATGTATTACAAGGCTAGTCAGGGGATATATTTATATGCAATTGCACTAAAATCCTGTAATTCCTACAGGAAAAGGAGGATTTTGAAGAATTTGTTGTTCCCCTTATTGGGCCATGCCCTGACCCCATGTGTGTGTGTGTGTGTTTGGGTGGGTGGGGCTGGGGGTTCAGACCCACCGTTCACACAAAATCAAGTGTTGCCTCACCCAATGATGATTTAGATAAAAAATAGACATAATCCTGTCATTCCTACAGTAGAAGAATGATTTTAAAGATGTTTTTCTATTTTTCCTATTTGGCCCCGCCCCTCTGACCAAAGGGGCTTCAACCCAACTATTCATACAAAATTGATTTCCCTTCCAAATAGGATGCTATTGTTCAAATTTGGTCAAAATACCTTCATCCAAACGGAAGAGGAAAGATATTACAGCTATTCCTCTATATCTGTGTTTGCACCCTCACTGCCCCAAGGAGGGTCAGACCCACCGTATTTATAAAATTGGTTCCCTTCACCCAGTGTGCTTCATCCCAAATTTAGTCATGTTCCTCTACCCTCAGGGGGGCCACACACACTATTTATACAAAATTGAGTCCCACTGGCACAAGGATGCTCCAGACTAAATAAAGATAAGAACCTGTAATACCTAAGGTAGAAGAAGGATTTAAAAGGTTGAACCTCTATTTCCCCTATTAGACCCGTCCCTCTGCCCATAGGGGGTCACACCAATCGTGTATACAAAATTGAGTCCCCTTGGCCCAATGATGCTACAGACTAAATTAGGATAAAATCCCTGAATCCCTATGGTATATATTTTTTTTAAAGTTTTACCTATATTTCCCCTTTTGGGCCCCGCCCCATGCCCCTAGGGGGACCACAACGACCTTTGGTACAAAATTGAGTACCCTTGGCCCAAGATGATCCAGACCCAATTGGGAAGAAATCTTTAATCCCTATGGTAGAAGGAGGATTTTAAAGGTTTTACCTCTATTTCCCCTATTGGGCCCGCCCATCTGCCCCCAGGGAGGACACACCCACCATTAATACAAAATTGAGTTGTCTTGTCTTAAGGATGCTCCAGACTAAATTAGGATAAATCCCTTTATATATATGGTAGAAGAAGAAGTTTAAAGGTTTAACCTCTATTTCCTCTATTGGGCCCCGCCAATCTGCCCCCAGGGAGGACACACCCACAATTTATACAAAATTGAGTTGTCTTGTCTTAAGGATGCTCCAGACTAAATAAGGATAAATCCCTTTATATATATGGTAGAAGAAGAAGTTTAAAGGTTTTACCTCTATTTCCCCTATTGGGCCCGCCCATCTGCCCCCAGGGAGGACACACCCACCATTTATACAAAATTGAGTTGTCTTGTCTTAAGGATGCTCCGGACTAAATAAGGATAAATCCCTTTATATATATGGTAGAAGAAGAAGTTTAAAGGTTTTACCTCTATTTCCCCTTTTGGGCCCCGCCCATCTGCCCCCAGGGAGGACACACCCACCATTTATACAAAATTGAGTTGTTTTGTCCTAAGGATGCTCCAGACTAATTTGGATAAATCCCTTTACATATATGGTAGAAGAAGAAGTTTAAAGGTTTTACCTCTATTTCCCCTATTGCGGACCAGGTGAGCTAAAAAAAAACGACAGCATCAGAGATAGAGAAGAGCATGGATACGCAACTTTTAAAACAAATACTGATTACAAAAAGAGAATGGAAGAAGGGAAATTAAGGGTGTAGAAAACCTAAGTGAGCAAATCACATGGAACAATGAGGATATGTCTAAGGAAGAGTTATGTCATAAACGGATGGATATATAGCAACACTTACTTAGAAGAAGAATACATGACAAAGGAAAGACAAAACAGAAAGAATTGTGGAAAAGGAGAGAGATAATGTTGCAGACACAAACAGACAGACTGCAGCATAACGTACCTATAAACAGCACATTCCTGTTGGAGTCCAGAATATTCACGAGCAGGGAAGGGTCCATTCCATGTCGTGACATTGCATTTGCTATAGCCAAGAATCCAGTATCAGCCTTCGTTTTGAGGAGGTGAATGAAGATCTTTGTGATGCGAGATCTAAAGGCGAGGTGACGGTGCTCTTCCATCTCCTGCTCAACTATCGCAACCGGACAGTCCAGTTCGGCAAAGAACGTCTGGTATGTACTGCCGATGTATCTAGTGACTCTACCAATCTCTTTGAACGACAGTTTTCTGTCCGGCAATTTCTTTGTCTTGCCTGCAATATGCATAGCTCTATTACCTCAATATACATATTTTATATTCTAACCGTATACTGTGGAGTGCACAAGACCTGTAGTACAGTATTTGTGGAATATAATTATAACAGAACAATGAAGCCCATGCTTGTCTTACGGTAGTTAATTATCCCGTCACATGTGATTTACAATTGCGTTATTCGATATATAATTATTTAAAAACAACAATGTAACGAAGTGCATGTTTAGTCTGATCTGTCAACATTGTTTAATTGTGTTTTTAAAACAACGAAGGAAACAAAAGGACATCATAAATAGGCATCAACTCATATAGCCAGTTCTGAAAGGTAGTTTTATACTTTCTAGTAACATGCTATTTATTTCATAATGTGTAGATTTCCTATCAATGCCATGGTTGGATAGGGTGTAAGTATAGTTCTTACTGCCAGTCGGTTGTTTTAACTTGTTCTGCGAAAAACTCGAACCGATATTTAAAAACAACACAGTATTTTAAAGTAACATGTTTTTTAAATTTGTAAAATATTGCGTTGAAGGGCATTAACTTACCAACATGTCGCTTAAGAGCCCGTTTCTTCTGTAAAACAAAAAGTTAAAATACTACACTTTGATAGGAACTTCATAGACGATAAAACTGTTTGTGGTTATGATAATTTCAAGGAGCAAAAAGGACGCATTAGAGTAGTGTGTCATTCGTGTTTCAGGGTATCAGTTGCAATTATAATCAGACGTATAAATTAAAACTGGTATCTGGTATACCTTTGTATAAAGACATGGATAAATTACGATCAATACGATTAATTAATCAACGTTTATCAAATCAAAACGTTGCAGTGTTAACATATGAACATTAAACTTGTTCCATTAACCGCCCCAACACACCTCCCATATCGAACATCAACACGCACACAAAACATATGAATATCAATAGAGTAATACATAGGGAATACAAAAAATGTATACATTCTAATCTCATAATGCTATTTGTTCGGCATTTTGGTTTTTGTCCAATAAGTTTATTAAGTATAATTCTTCGAAAAATTCGATAATAATGTGCTCTGAAAAGAGTTACTGGGGAAATTTTAATGTTGTTTCTCGTAACGAACACATAACATACTAGATGTACTGGTACAAATAGCCGGTACGTGTTTTTCAGTGTTAATGAATTAAATGTTATATTTGTATTATGAACAAGATCTATAAACTGTTTATCTCTACGTCTTTTGAGCATCGGACATCGAAGTATTTATGAGTTCGATGTGATACGTGTATTACATATTAATATTTTCACTGTTTACCTTCTCGTCTGGGTTCTTGAACCAGATGTAGAGGTCATTTTTGTCTATCCATTCGCGCCGTTTTAAACCGTAGCATCGCAGATGTGCTGTCTGCCGTAAATCGTCCACCTTCACCATCTGTTCAGCTGCTGTGAACCGGAAGTCGTTGTGGAGGTATATTTGGTATGCTAGATGACTTTGGTGATTTAACTTTAGAATCCGCTGGAGAAGAAATGTTAGAATACTGAGTAGTTTAATTCCAGTTCCTGTTGGTACGGAGTGATCTGTATCCGTCTTGAACATAGTAACCTTCATGGCATTGTCGCTGCAGTTGATGATCATTTTCCACAGAAAATCCACAGACAAGCAGGCAAAACCGCGTCGGATGAACTTCAAACCATCATCTCCGAGCTCTTTCAGTCGCTGGAACCTGTGAATACAGGAGGCAATCATCTTGTCCCAAACGGCCTGTGGGATGAATGGGTTGTCGAACTTCACACAAAGAGTGACAGTGGTAACTGTGTCGGGATCAGCAAGAACTGGACTAATTACCTCGGGATCTGCAGGTTGAAGGATGCTTGGTACTATGAAGTAATCCACCTCGGCATCTACCGATATTGGTTTAGTAAGTAGTCCAAGGGTTTCCATGATGATGTAGAGTCTGTCTTCTTCATCTAGGAACCGATATTTCGCAGGACGATCCCAAAGTTGCCTGATGAAATCGTGTGATAATACGCCGGATTTCTCATACTCTGTCCATTGAAGGCTTTGCTTGGTCGAAAGGTCAGATGTAAACTTTGGAGCAGTGATGATGGCTTTGAATGCATTAATTATCCATTGTGGTTGAAGAACGATGAATGGGCTCTTGCTATGGAGATCAAAACAGAGGAACGATCCAGAGAACCTTAGTGTCCTGAAGAAAGAAAAAAATGGTTTTAAAGTTATCCAATGCTATGTGTAAAATTATTTGATATATCACATGTTATAAATATATCTACTCACATTATAAACCCCATTACGTCATCTTCTGCTAATGGCACTGCTGACTTGCTATTGATTTCTAACAAATCAGCATATGTCAAGATAATCCTGCCTTCATTCTTCAGTCTCACCAGCTCGTATTCCAAGGCAACCCATCTTGCAGGTACTGGTTTCATCCACTGGGACTGGAGGGGGGCAATCGATATGATTTTTTTCCACACCCGCTCGTAAGTATCTTGATTTTTAGTGGAATCATTCAGATCGGCTATGGGGAACATTTCCTGGACGTGGGTTGCCATAATTTCACGGAGTTCAGGTTTCTCGTACAGCTTTTCTAGCACAGAAGCAAACATCCTTTTCTGTTCCTCTTTCTGCGTAGAAGACAATACTTTGATGAATTATAAATCATAAATGAATCCTACATTGAAAATAATACATGATAATATTCATAAACGCTATGTCTATATACATGTTCAAGCAGTCAAACTATTGCAAAAAAAATAAAAAATGCATGAGTTCAACAAATAAAAATAAATTAGAATATTTATGTGAGGTAACAACATGCATTGTGCGGCTGGATGACTATCATCTTATTTTATTTTTGAAGCGAATTGCATACGTCACATGTGACATAGCATTGATGGTTTCGATATTGTTTTAAGGATAGCATATTGTATCCTGATTGTAATATTATGTCAAACCTTTTTTCATGTTTAAAAAGTTAAACGCGTCTCTTTATAAAATATACCTATGGAAACATATACAGTCCTTTGTAAAAACTAATTAATTTAACCGATTTTATAGTTTTCCTAACAGTTTCAAAAACTTACATTTTTAGAAACAATGTCTAAATGAGATCCAACAAGGATGACTGGTGGAGTTCCTTTACCGGGTGCTGCTCTGTCGATTGCATAGGTAGCGATATTCCTCAGCCAGAACTCGATTCGCTCTGTACAACAAACAAATGTGCTTAAGAATTGGACTTAACAATTTAGTTACTTGTTTTTTAGCTTAAATAATAAGATAAACAATGAAGTACAAGAGGGTATAGTATAAGTATGAGTCTTTCCGGTTTTCATTCGTATCATTCCCGAATAGGTTTAATTGATCAAACAATTTACAATAAAATTGATTGAGAAAATTAAAAGCAATATATATTGTATTGGCAAACCTACCGTATCCATCTTTTGCTCGGCTTGGATCAAGACACATAGCCACGTCGAACACCAGGACGAAGACCATGTTGCTTGACATAAAACAGTGGTGTGTGTTATAGAACACCTTCTCCCCTCCAAAGTCATAGATTGTGACGTAGCCCTTCACATCCCCATCATGCTTGTCCTCTTTTTCTGTACCCATCACCTTTTCTATAACACTTTTTTGTTCTTGCGTTAATTCAAAGTGTTGTGGTATTTCAACATCTTGAATCACTGCAATATGGAAACGAAGTTATAACCACTGTGCTGGTGAATGTTCCCCACGATTTATATTCGTAAATTTAGAAATCCTATGGGGAAATATAGGAGTATGTTATGATAAACTCTATATATAACGTTAACATGTTAACCGTCTGATGCAAGTACCGGGACAATCAGTACTTTATATCATGTGCTTTGATCCAGTTATTCATCGTTGAAAATTGTAAGCATTTTACAATTAAGTTTTTTGGTGGTCAAGGACAGATTACCTCTTTCTTTTATTCTGAATGGTAGCGTCGGGAAGAACTGTTTCAGTTTCTGTTTGATACCTGTAGAGTAAATATACAATGATTATCTCAGTGACGGTACAGCAAGTATTACAAATCACAGAAGTAGTTAATGGCTCGTACATATAGAACTATGGTTATCAGTATGCCAGTTAAGTTATCCATTCCCCACCTGTAAATGCGTTGTTTATTAAAAAAGGTTGGTTTCAACTTATAAGTAGGCTTTAAAGTGACACGTGATTAATAATTTACTTAAAAACTTATTTCTTTTAAAGTTATGTTAATTATTAAGTCTCTGTTCTTCATGTGTCTTTCCACTTACCAGTCTTCTTCCTAGCTGACAATACAGGCGCATCCACC